CTTCCTCAAGCCCCTTCAGTCTGAATCCTCAGCGATCACTGATGCAAGACAACACTTTAGGATCAATTCTCATTCCTAAAGCAATCCAAATCTCAATTTTTAACCAAGATTTCTTATTAGTGTGCCATAATCCATTTTCATATTTCAAATTATCATTCCAAGGGTTTTCAATCTCAAATCAAGGATTAACAATGCTAATCCATCTATCTCAAGTCTCCAAATGAAGCTAATTTGGGTTCTCCCCAAAAACAGGGGTCAAAACAACATTTTCAGGCCAAACAGGGTCAAACCCCGTGTCAACTGGTCGACCGGTGACAGAGCAGTGCAATACTACCGATCAACCGGTAGTGTGCACACCGGTCGACCGGTCAGCCTACAGTCCGGTTGACCGGTTTCCATGTGATCCGGTCAACCGCACAGGTCGACCGGTGGAATCAGCTGCACGAGAGAAGCTCATGAAAATCAGTCCAAAACCTACAAATCCAGTCCTAAATCGAGATATTTCAAAGGAAAACTACTAGATCTGGGTTCTAGGTCCTAAAACAAGTCCAAAGAACCCAAGATCTCCAATTTCTAGTCTAGTTTTACTCAAAAACTATCAAAATCCAGTTTGAACCAAAAATAAGTTTTAAAATTCAAAAACTTGAGATTCAAGAGAGGTTCTTTCAGTAATCTTACCTCGAATCCTTCTCTTGACGTTGAAAACTTCTTTAAATCTTTCCTTGGTTCAAGATCCGTTTTGATTTGGGACAAAATGAGAGAGAGGGGGAGTGAGAGAGAGCTCGGGAGAGTGAGAGAAAGAGTGAGGGAGAGACGCACGGGAAGGAAGGAAGGAAAAAGGAAAAAGAAAGGAAAGAAAAGAAAAAGAAAAAGGAAAGAAAATGGACAAGTGTTAATATTTTAAAAGAGCAGTCCAGAAATGCGCCCACACACACTTCTGGTTTAAAATAAATTACTGAGAATAATTTAAATACCTTGGAACTATTTAAACTCACACGTGTCAGAAACATTTATTAATTAAACTCAATTAATAATCCAGATTAGGCACACTAATAACCTCAATTACCTTAATTAATCTCAATTAATTCTTCAGGGTGTTACAATATATTGCTAGACTATGGTTGATGTCAACATTTACTTTCTTGTTTATGTTCATGTATGCTGAACCTGTGGGGATTCTTGATATGATACCAATGTGAGGTTTTGAACTTGTTTTGTTAGAATTTCTACCACTTTTCTTAAAACTTAATTTCTTACAAATAGTGGGATTTGTTTGAAAATACTTGAATACTTTGGATTTGAAATCAAATTTTAAACTGTTAATTTTTTAATTACTTTCTTAAGCATGTTTAAATTTCTAAACAAGCCTCCACGTTATTAACTTCTGTTTGGGGGCGTGACAATAAAATAATGAATAATTTTTTTATTAAATAAATAATAAAAATTATATTACCTCTCATGCTTTTAAGACATCATTTTCAACAATTATTTACTTCAAAAGAATATCTAGAATATGCTATTTGTTATATTTTCCCTTAAAAATATTAAAAAAGAGTAAATATTAAAAAAAACCCTTACTTGTCTTCCTCTCTCTTCGCCTTCTCCTTGCTCTACACATCTGGTATATTTCTTCTCCGGCACATGTTGGTCAAACCATGATCTGATTGATGATCATGATGACGGAAAGCTGTCATGCCGGCATCGGATCTATGCCCCCTCCCCCCGCCTCGATGGCAATGTGTTCCCCTTGACAGAACGAATACCCAATTCTCTTTCCTAGCGACGACAACACGAATCACTCTATCCCTTGTTGGCGTGAGCTCTTTCGCTTCTGTCCACGATTTCCTCTTCTATTTTAGGTCCTTTGGCTTCAACTTATAGTTGAAGCTTTTCAACCCAACAGATCATAGATTCGAGCTCGACGGTGGTTGATGTTAATTTGAGCAAAAAAATAAAAAATAAAAAAATAAATCTAGACTTAAGATAAGAACTCTCAATCTCTTTGCCTTCTTATTTGTAATTTTGATGATTTTCCTGGTATTTCATTTGTCAGTGATGTTAATTTGCTTATGGTTTTTATCTCGCAAGAAGCTACATGCACAGTGCACACATATTTAAAAGGTGATGCCATATTTGTCAATGTTAATTCCTTGACCTTCATTGAAACTGAGCTCCCATTTAGCTACTACAGTCTCCCTTACTGCAAGCCCAGTGGTGATATCAAGGAAAGTGCCCAGAATCTCGGTGAACCTCTTATGAGAGATCAAATGGACAACTCCCCTTTTCTCTCTTTTTTTTTTTTTTGGTTTTTTTTTTTTCCAAATTTTTAAGCATTTTTTAAGGCAATATTAAGCATTTTTATATATTTAATTAGAATCTAATGGTTTTAATTGATATTTGTGCGTTTGGTTCAAGGATTCGTGTCATGGTTCGAATCATGATTCGTGGATCGCTACAGTATTTTCTCTCACAAAAAATACACGTAAATTGAGAATTGTTCTGAATCATGATTCTGAATCCATCAACCAAACGTTCTCTTAATGATTGCAACGCACGTAGACACTTCTGTTAAATTTATAGACATATAGGATAGTTTGATATGTTTTCTATATATTATGAGGTGTTTTGAATTATTTTAAAAAAATTAGAAGTACTTTGAAATAGAATACATAGTTAGGAGGTATTATGAAAATAATCCTATGAATAATTAATCAATACAATTATAAAAATATTATATTAAAAACAGAAAATTATTCTTAATTTTTTATATATATTATGAAATTTATTATATTTAAAATTATATATTATAGTATATTATACAAAATATATTTTATTAAAAAATAACATATAACTAACTTGTTGGGTAAACGGGAAATAGTGTCTGGGACTTCTAAATTTGTTTTCCTCCCGTAATCTGTAACGTGATAAAATTTTAGCTCGTTTACAATCTTAAGTAATTAAAGCGGATTTTCTTCGTCCCGTTTAATGCGGGTCAGCGTGGACAAATAGGTTAATGGGTAAAATTGTCATCCCCAATTGCAACATGCCCTTCAAATTTTGAAAAGAGTTCATTTTGTTCCTGAAGTAGAAAAAATGGGTCAAAACACTCTATAAACTAATGTTATTTCATAAATGTCCTTGAACTATAGTTTTGTGCAAATTTATCTCTAATCTTTTCAAAAATTAAGGGCAAATTGACAAAAAAAAATTTAAGTTGGCAAGTTGATTTAAAATTAAAAATTTTATAGGTATTATAAAGTATAAATAGTTATATATTATCATTTTGTTAATTTTATAAATGTAATGACATTTTGAAATAAAATACATAATTCAAAATTAAAAATATTTTTTAAAAAATTTCAGAATATGTCGAAATAAAATACAAAATTCTGGTGACATTTATGAAATTTAATATGAAAAAAAAACACACACACACGCACACAATGGTTTAGTCAAAAAAGAAAGGAAAAAAGAAAGAGAAAAAAAAAAAAACATAGCCAGTGTTTAATGGGCCTGGCACACGTCCATTGGAGCTAAGCCGACAGAGGAACAATTAGACAAATATACTCCTATACACGTGTCGCCAAAATAATGACCAAGAATTTCTTGAATTCCCCAAAAACACCTCCAGTAAACAACTATTTTATATAAAACCCACTCTCCACTCACCAAAAAGCCCTCTCTCTCTCTCTCTCTCTCTCTCCTCTCTCTCTCCTCGACGCCATGTAAATTTCATTTCTCAGTTTCGCAGACACTTGACGATGCTCATGTATTTTCTCTCTCGCCCGTGAGTCTTTCATTGTTTTTTCCCTAAGAATTCTTCATTTTTTTCTTCTTCGTCTCTGTTACGTTTCCGCGATGGACGAGGAATTGAAGAAGCGGTACACCGATTGTGTGTATTTCTTGGCCTCGCCTCTCACCTGCAAGAAGGTTCGTTTTCTGCTCGCTTGCCCTAACTTTTGTTGTTGTTTTTTTTTTTTTTGTGTTTTTCTGAAGAATTAATCTTGGGAAATTTCGGTTTCTCGGTGGTTTTGTGTGTGTTTGGTGACGCCGATTGTGTCTGGTTGGTTGATCGATTCGTGTTCCGGAATGTGATTGGTTTGGCTTTAGTACTTGCATTTGAAGAGTTTTTGTGTTCTAGGGTTTATTTACCCATCAATTTTGGGGCTGACTTTTCTTGGGAACTTTGGCATTTTCGTTTTTTGCTTGAACAATTTTGGCATTTTCGGTTCCTGTTCTTTTTTTAGGAAAAAATACAAAAAATTTCCCCTCGAACTTTGTCACAATTATTAACTTGCCCCTTTACTTTTCAAATATGTCAATGGCACCTCCTAAACTTGAGTAAAGTGGTAATATTGGTACTTCTATCTGGCCGTGTCGTTAACACGTTTGAAAAGTGCGGGACTAAGCTAACACTTTTGATGAAGTCAAGGGAAAAGTTCGTAAACTTTTACTTATTATTGTAATTATTGGGATAGATATTTTTCAGTTTTAAAGATATTGACCATTTTTGTTATAATTTCCGCTATGTTCTCGGTGATTAAAAGTTGTCACGTTGTTAAATCACTGAGATGTTAATGACTTCTAAGTTGGCATGTACAGGTATTTATGCCCAGTGTCAATACATGGTCATTGGCAATTTTCTTCTTTCCTCTCTGAAATCTGTATGCCTTTCGGCTTTTGGTTTTGAGTCTGTAAAGTTGATTTTGGGTTTTATTTAATATTGTTTTTCTTTTTCTCAGGGTATTGACTGTGAGTATAGGCACTGTGAGATTGCAAGGCTCAACCCAAGGGATTGCTGGTACTGGTTGTCTGGAAGCTGTCGCAACCCAACCTGTGCTTTTAGGCATCCTGTAAGCTTATTTTTCATTCCTTTCATCTCTGTCTGTATAAAAACGTAAAGTATTCTCGAGCCTCTGGAAATCTAAATGCAAATTAAAGCTGAATATATATATATATATATTTGTTATCAACTTCTCTAACCATTTCTTAATTTCGTGTGTGTGTTGAATGGTTACTGAAAGTATGGTCAGATATGAGACTACACTGAAAGGATCCCGAGTAAAAAATTCATTGGCCTTCCGGAAAAGAAAAAGATATAGGCAGCATTTGGTTACTATTTAGTACAAAATCATTATGTCCTAATTTCTATTAATCATTATGATAATTACAATAACCTGAATAAGCTTGACCCTTCTGTTTCTTGCTCGTAAATATGGTAACGTTGTTTTAGATTTATTAGTTATTTTAGATATAAGTGTCGTCTGGTGGAGTTGGTTAGGGATAAGAAAAAAAGAGCCTTCATGCTACTGGGTCTGGGTATCTTGAAATGGTTCATTGTAACTGTGCTTTCTTGGTCATTTAACTATTTCCATTTGAACTGAGTATTGTTTCTTTCGTAGCCATTGGATGTGCACACTGGAGCGACATCAGAATCTGCACCAAGTTCTGTACCTGTGAACAAGACCAACGTCCCATGTTACTTTTATTTTAACGGGTTCTGTAACAAAGGTGACAGATGCTGTTTTCTGCATGATGTTAATGCTGATGCACCACCACGTGAGAAATTAGTAAACACAACCTTGGCAAAGTCTGAAGCGCCAAATGTAGGAAACAACACATTTGCAGTATGGGAGTTAGGGTCAGCACCAGCTAATAAACCGGTTATTCAGCAAAAGACTAACAAAACGTTAGTCCCATCTGCTACTGCTACTGCTACTGCAAATATAGAAGCTCATACAATGGTCCAACCTAAAGAAGATATTCAACTGTTGGTGCCAGAAGATGTTGCACAGCAAAGCGGAGCTTCCCCGATCTCTGTTTCTGAGTGTGAAGAGACTGCTACAATAAGGTCAGACTCTCTTCCAGCGGGAGAATTTGTTCATAGCATATCTTATGCATGCGAAGAGAACAGTTCAGAGGAGCAGGTAGACGGTCGGATTGACCCAGAGGAGAGGTGGGAATCATCCCCAGGCTTTGATGTTCTTGTGGATAATGAATCAGAGAATTTGGACTCCGAAGATGATCCGGAGTACATGATGGCACTTGATAGGAAAAGAAGGGATTTGACCAGCCACTTCTTGGCCTATGATTTTGAAAACCAAGTTGAATATGATAGATACCGTGAGATGGAACTTCAATATGAAATTGAGACATGCAGCCGTTATGATCATCCAGTTAGCAAGGACATTTTTGGTGATGTGGAGAATAATCCTGGTCATGCAGACGTGAGAATGTTTGATTCCTTTTTATCCCGCAAGGAATTGGCTTTTGGTAACCAGAGACATGCGGATCTTCGTGACCATCTTAGAAGGAGAAAGTTTGTTGATAGTCATTCAGTTACTGGCTTATCAAGAATGCGTGAATCTAGTCAGCTGATTCGTAGAAACCACGAAAGGCCTTGGCGGCATGGTATGGGTCGCATACGACCGCTTGAGAGACGGGCACTGGATGTAGGAGGGAACACTATTGACTCACTCGGCAACAATGGAACTTACTCAAATGGTGGAAGGCGGCATGGTTTTCCAAGACACTCACAGAAATATCAATCTAGGAGGCAGCATTTTAAAGAGAAAAGGCTTCCTAAAAGGCGGTTTCTTTCATCTGAAATCTCGAGCGAAAGGAGGGTACCGAGGGAGAGGATGTCTACTCGGGAGTCTACAAAATTTTTGGGACCCAAGACCCTTTCCCAGATCAGAGAAGAGAAAAGAAAACCAGAAGAAGATGGTGATTTCACTAGGAAAATGAGAAGCTACGGAAGAAAGTCATCAGTTGACTTTCAGGGTCCTAAACCTTTGAGTGAAATCCTGAAGGAGAAAGGGAAGCTGACCTGTGAAACTTAAAGGCCATAACTAGCACCATCCAAAGAATGTGCTTGTGAGACAGTGAATTGGATTTGTAAAAGAAGATGATGAAGTGTTTGAGTGAGAAAAAAGGCTTTCTACCAAAAATTGTGGCCGTGATTGGCCACTGTTCGTACTGTTTACCGGATAAATTTTTGTTTTTTCCGCCATTTTAATCAAGAGAGAGAACTTATTAAGAAGCTTACTAGCAATTCTTTCTAGAATCCTTTATAGTTGATAATCCCCTTTAGGAGAAGAGTTGATGGATTAAATCATTTTTAATGTCGATATTGTTTCAGTTTCTGTATAGAGCTACTTGCGAATTAACTAGTTGGTCATTGCATTTCTATTAGAAAAGTTCCTCTTATCTGCCTTTTGATTCTCCATTTAATACATTTTTCTTTCTTTTCATTTTCCTCACCAATGCGTACGTTTTGATTAGAATTCACAAGTTTATAGTCAACCTTATTAGTTGGAATCATTGGCTTTCCTGTGCAGCAAAATTATTGGGCTCCGAAGACTCTATGGCTGAAGTAGGGTCAACCTGTATTTCATGCGACGCTCTAATGATTTTTCGAGGCCTCATAGTACACTTGTTTGGATTACATACTTCAATCATCAATGTGCTCATTAATTTTTGAGGGTTTGAATTTTATAAAATCATAAAAGCCCATAAATTATGTAATTTCATAAATAACCTCTAAACTATTAATTTTATTAAACTTATCCCGGCTTATCAATAGTTTGGGAGTGCTTAAAAATTATGAACAGTGTTATGTCATCATTCCTTAGGTATTATAGACGAAAGGGATATTTTTGAAAGATTTTATATATTTTCGGGGGCATATTAATTAAAGGTACTTAATTCAGGGATATTTATGAAATTAAGGACTAATTTTTTTACTAAGATTTTGGAAGCATTTTTTCTACATGAATTTTCAGAGATATGCACGTTTCTCCTTCTTTTCCTCCTCTTTATTTCTTTTTTTTCAAGTTTTAATTCTTAAAGTCATTTCAAAATAAATAATTGTTTCTCACAATATTCTCATATCTAAAGAAATGCATGTCAACTTAACGTGGCTGAAACCAATGTTCTATTATACCAGAATGTTTTTGAGGAAAGAAAAAAGAGGGGGGAAAAAAAAGGTAGCAATCTACCAACAATAGTCCTCTTTTTTTTTTTTTTTTTTTTTTTTTTTTTTTCCCTTTGAAAGGGTTTTTTTTTTTTTTTTTTTTTCCCTTTGAAAGGGTTTTTTTTTTTTTTTTTTTTTTTTTTTTTTTTCCCCTTGAGAAAGGTTAATTGGTTATTTTGTTTTATGATAGTGATGTAATCCCACCTAATTACGTATGGACGAATAACTAGTCATATATGTTTTTTTTCTTTCTCATGATTAATAAATCAGTAGTCATATTTGCATTGCTTAGAACAAGAAGATTTCACCATATATTTAAAAAGTAGCATTGACTACTAAGTTCGATTAATTTACGAAATAAGGCCACTAAAGTTGCATATTTCTAACCCACCCCGCTGAAACAGCAAAATCTTAAGATGGATCTTCTATTGTTTCTTCTGATCAAAAGCATATCTTTGTCATTTTAAAGTTGTCATTATGTGCTAATTAAACACATACCAAAAATTTTTATGAGGTTGCCTATTCTTGAGAATTGCATTCTTTTACACAAGTGCCAAATCTATTGGCACCATAATTTCCTTTGAGAGAAGAAAACTGATCTTTTCCTTCCTCGGAGTGAGAATAGTGTTGGCTCATGATCTTAAGATGGATTATTATCACCTATGCTACTTTAATTATGGAGTCATTCACAATTTGCATTCTAAATTTTAAAAACTCTCATATCAAAACAAAAGAGCAAAAGAACATATAAAACTGACAGATTTTACTTCAGATTTAACAGTTCCAAACATGGTTAGCCCTATCAATAGAGTTAAAAATCTCAATTTGTTTTTAATATGTATTGGGAATACATGGAAAGTTTGTGCTAAAACCATTAATTTGTTGGCCTGAAAATAATATAGAAACTTTATCATGCCTCTCACTGTATTCAATCTCATGTCTCGGTCAATTCTTAAGACAATTTCTCACATATGCCTACAAAGTTTTGCAATGAAAAGTTTTCAGTGTGAATTCCTATACTGGTCAAAAAATTTAATATAAAGCCGTGTGAATCCTTGCATACTATATTAAGGAAAGTGAAATTAACAAAATGTTTTAGAAAAACGGAAATTAACAAAATATCTTTTTTATTTTTACAAATTTTTTTTAAATTAATTGTTTTTGAAAAATTGTTTTTATAAATCAAACTTCCTATCAAAGTAATTGTTTTTGGCAACATCTATGGTGGAACCCAAAAAGAAAAGAAAAAAAACCACCGGTGGATCCCTGCTAACGGTCAAATCTGCAACATGAGCACTTCTGTATGGTACGTTATAAATTTTTAATACGGACATGTACAGATATGACCGTTGAAAAATTAATCCAACGTTTACAAAGCATAACTCCGCCGGTGGAAGTTTTTTTGGGGTCTCCCGGTAAAAAATGTTATTTTTTTCTCTTTTTTTTTTAGAAGAATTGATATATATGAAACTCTCGGATAAGTTGACTTTCAAATCAACAATTATTTCAAATCTACATAATCTGTTGTTAAACAAAACTGCATTAATTGTTAAAAATCATCAATAGTATTATAGTAATGTATCTATAGCATTAATTTTCAAAAGTAGAAGAAAATAGCAAAATTGTGAAAGGAAAAAAAAATTTAGGGTCAAAAGCATAAAGTTTTGGACCTTAGAGGAAAGTTCTCATTTTTTCCATTTTTAGCCACGAAATCTCATAAAATAAAATTCTCAAATCCCGAATATCCTTAATTGCCATCTTCTTCATTTGTCACCATTCTCTCTCTCTCTCTCTCTCTCTCAAATTAGTCCAAACACATAAAAAAGCTCTCTCTCTCTCTCAAATTAGTCCAAACACATAAAAAAGCTCTCTCTCTCTCTCAAATTAGTCCAAACACATAAAAACTCTTTAGGTCTCTCTCTCTCTCTCTCTCTCTCTCTCTCAAATTAGTCCAAACACATAAAAAAGCTCTTTAGGTGGAAGAAACAAAGAATACTCTAGAGAGAGAGAGAGAGAGATTCTCATGGCTGAGTTGCAAAGGTCAGAAATATCCTTTAGAAGGCAGGGCTCATCAGGCTTGGTATGGGCCGACAAGCTCACAGCCGGCGAAGTGGTATTGGGCCAATCAAAGCCCAGTAGTGAAGATCAGGGTGATGCAAAAGAGCCACGTGGCGGGAGCCGACCCTATCGGACGGTCAAGATGCCGTCTCCCACCGTTGACCCGCCGTCTCCGAAGGTCGCCGGTTGTGGCTTCTGTGCCATGTTTGGGAAACCGGTACAAGACCATAAACCAAAACCAAACAAACGTAGATGATATATGGTAGTAATATATAATATAGTTCTTATTTTCAACACATTGCATGGTTAATTGTTAGACATGTATGCATTTAGACATATGTATATGATCTATATATGTGTGTGTTAGTGATATGATATTTACCCTATTGTATATCATATCACAAAACAAAGTTATGTGATCATATTGCATGGTTAATTCTTAGACATGTATTCATGAATATGTATTTTCCTTTGGGATTTTTGGTCTATTTTTCTAAGTTTAGAATTGTTTGACTATTTGCGCTTAGACATGTATTCATGAATATGTATTTTCCTTTGGGATTTTTGGTCTATTTTTCTAAGTTTAGAATTGTTTGACTATTTGCGCTTTAGTTTTGGTTCAACTCTTGTGAATATTGAGAATTTTCGGATATGGGTTTTTGATCAAATTCTGAAAGGAAATAAAGTTCATCTCTTCCTTATGAATTATATGAAAATATTATATATATATATATTGATATTCCCATAGGCAAATTGTAATTTTTTTTTCCTTCTGATAGGGAATTAGGAAACTAGTATGTCACTTAAATTCTTGGTTTATCTTGGCAAGGTATAGAAGTGCTTTTGTACTTTGGTTTTGTGTAATTCTTTTAAATATTGAGATTTTAGGGATTAATGGATTTTTTGGTCAAACTCTGAATGGAAAAGAAATTTCAGACTCTTTTCCCTTGCATCTCCGGTATTATAATTTATACATGCATATTAATTGCCATGGCCCTCCAAAGATTGGACTTTGGAAGAACATGCAATTTCACCATCCCTTTCTCTGAATTTCTGGTTAAGACCGGCGCTTTATTTTGAGTTTGTAATTCATTCTTTTTTTTAATATATATATATATATAAAACACCTAAATCTGCAACTCTCCACTCAAACTCCACCCCACTCGAACCCCAGTACCACTAGACCAAGGGGTTTTAGGCTATTATTATTATTTTATTTTTGCATATTGGTCTTTCAAAAATAAAAAATAAAATTGTACATGATATCTCAACTCTAATATATGATTGCGAATAATTTATTTGTGATTGGTGTAGTTTAGTTGGTAACTAACGTAACGGAATTTATTTTATTTCTTTGTAAAATATAATGAAAAGCTTATCACCTTCAACTAACTGTACTAAAAAACCGTCCATCTTATTCCTTTTTTTGTTTTTGTTTTTGTTTTTGGGCTAATCGGTCATCTTATTCTTTTACTCACCAATGTCCAAAAGTATACATGTACCAATTTTTTATGAACTCCTCAAATTTTGAAGAACGTCTTGCCCCTTTTTGCATAGTGATGCTATAGGACAAACAAGTATTACCAATTAATTAATTTGAAAATTGAAACTTCAGCAGAATCTTTTTAAAAATCTTAATTTGCACATTTCTTAGTTTTTTCATTAAAACAATACATAAGCAAATGATTCAAATTCAATCCTGCAACTTGCTCAAATGGATACGATTTTACAAACATGAATGATGATAATAGAGAAAGCTCCTATATTTTCCCATAATTATTTGAGGTTTAGTTTATGAATTTATTTTCATTTCAACTTGCTTTGCAATTGCCACTTCATTTCCAGTTGCATTATAACATCACAACTTGCAAGTAATCTTCCCATTGGGGATTCAAAGGGTGCGTACATATATTCTTAAATCAGCCCTCTTAAAATTTTTAAAAAAGTCCTTATAACTAAATTACTCTCCCATTTACTTTTTATTAGATCCCACCAACATTCTACTTGTTACACCTCATTTAATTTTTTTTTAAAATCCCTGCAATTTTTTTTTTCATCTACCAATCAACCAAACTTATTTTTAGTTTATATATATATGATAGGAAGTATTGTTCTAGAAAAGTTGGTATACTTGTGCTATTGTCTCATCACTTTTCACATCTATTAAAATATTCAATACCAATATACTCTTGGCTGACTTTTTGGGCATGTTGCTTTTAGTATAAAAATGAAAATGAAAAATTTTGAGAATTGTGCAACATCCGTTTCTAAAACTGTGTTTAGTTGTTTTATTGAAAGATTGTTTTCAATATAAAAAAATAAATAAAACTATGTTTAGTTTATACTTTAAAAAATCTATTTTCAATACCTAAATTAATAATCTCTAATTAATATATTAAGTAATTACTAATTGATAGTAACATAATAAAAAAAAATTTGTAGCAAAAAAACTTAATAAAAATAATTAATATATACAATAAGATAATATATTAAATAATTAAAACTAATAATTAATAATTAGTTTGTTAGTACATAATTAATATATACAATAAGATAATATATTAAATAATTAAAAACTAATAATTTGGGTGACTGGTCAAACTAGCTGTTGACTGGTGTTTTTCAGTGTTGACCGGAGCGTTGTCATGGTAAGCGAGTACCAAATTGGAGCACTTGGTGAAAGGAATACCTTCCCGATGTTGCTTTCTCATATCGGTGTCCGATTTGCCAGAAAAATGTCAAAACCCTCAAAACTTGGCTGCGTTGAACCCATACTTCTCCGGCAACGATCGGGGCTGAGATTGGTCGGGTTTTGCCCCTCTCAATGGTGGGAATACAACGGCGTTGTTCGCCATGAAAACAGAAGTCCGACAACACCAAAATCTCGAGTTGAAGAAAATGGCATGACGACTTGCTGTCACAATTAATGATGACCGGCGATGAGTGAGGCGACATGGCTTTCGCTTCAGGAATTTCAGGGAAGGAGGAGTAGGTTGGCCAACGCGTGGTGGCGGACACCAATGGACTTTGGCAGACACCGACGAACAGTTGCATGTTGTGATGGCATAGAGAAAGAGAGAGATGAAATAGAAATGCAAAAGGGAAAACGATAAAAGACCGTTTTCAAAACGCAATGCAAATAGAGATATGGGAAAGACTATTTTCAGTCTCATTTTCAATTAAGTAATGCACTAAACGTGGTTTGAAAATCAATTTCATTTTTAGCACCTCAATTTTCATGAAAATCAGTTTCAAAACTTATTCCAAACACGCACTATATGTCTTAAAATCTACTTTACTCTACTCTACTCATTTTTTTTAGATAAATAATCTTCGAACTCGGCTTGATATGATATTATGATGAATGTGCTGAGATGGGGATCGTGATTTGCATGTTCTTTTTCTTGTAAAATAGAAAAAATTAACTTTCAAAAAATTAAGTTGTAACACCCTGAAGAATTAATTGAGATTAATTAAGGTAATTGAGATTATTAGTGTGCCTAATCTGGATTATTAATTGAGTATTAATTAATAAATGTTTCTGACACGTGTGAGTTTAAATAGTTCCAAGGTATTTAAATTATTCTCAGTAATTTATTTTAACCCAGAAGTGTGTATGGGCGCATTTCTGGACTGTTATTTTAAAATATTGACACTTGTCCATTTTCTTCCTTTTTCTTTTCTTTTCTTTCTTTTCCTTTTCCTTCTCGCGCGTCTCTCCCTCACTCACTCTCTCACTCTCCCGTCCTCTCTCTCACTATCTCTCTCATTTTTGTCCCAAATCAAACGGATTTTGAACCAAGAAAACAGGTCAAGAGAAGAATGGATGTTACACGACTGACCTGGGAGCAATTTGAGACACTGTTCAATGAGCAGTACTTCCCTCAGAGTTATAGGGAGGAAAAAGCGCTGGAATTCATGTCTCTGCTGCAAGGTGACATGTCTGTAAGGGAGTATGAGGCCAAGTTTAACGACATGTCCCGGTCCGCGCCATCTTTGGTGGAATCTGAACACCTTAGATGTCTTAAGTTTGAGAAGGGCATCAAGAACTCTGTGAGGAGACCATTGGTGGCTTTGAGAATCCGGAATTTTCGAGATTTGGTGGCTGCTGCTACTAGGGTGGAGCAGGATAACATAGCTTATCACCAGAGTAAAGAACAAGCTGGAAGAGTTTCAGTCTCTGGGGGACCATCTGTTTCCGGCAGGCCACAGCGGAGTGGTAGAAGGAACCGCAACCAGGGACAGCCTGGTGAGGGAGTGGTTAGCAGTGGCAGTAGTTCATCAGGAAGTGACAGAACTGCTCCATACGGGCCCAGGTGTCACCATTGTGGGCAGGTGGGTCATATTAGGAGGAATTGTCCTAATCGACCGCTGGCTCAACAAGCCCAAAGTGACGCTTCCTATAGTCAAGAAGGGCCACCACCGTACATGCCACCATATCAGCCATAACAGATGTCATACCCTCTTGTGCCGACTTATCAACCACATCTGTTTACACAATTCCAGCCTTAAGCACCGAGACCGGTACAACCACCTCTGCCGCAATAGTATAGGCCTCCGACCCAACGGCCTAATGTTGGTGACAAAGGGAAAGGGAAAGTACAGGGACAAGCTTATGCCCTCGCAGGAGGCAGTTCTGGAGGTCAGACCAGCAACGCGGTGGTTGAGGGTATGATTCTAATCTCTCATTCTTTTCCTCACGTGTTGTTTGACACAGGTGCCACATACTCGTTTATATCAAGTTCTTTTGTACAGACTTTGAAACTGAAATCTAAGAATTTAGAAGTCCCGATGACTTTGAACTCCCCACTGGGATGTGTGGAGGTGTTGAGTGTGTGTAGATCGTGTGAAATCATGATTGGCGGTGAGCGAGTGAGAGCAGATTTGATTATCCTTCCGATGGGCCTGTTTGATGTAGTCCTCGGAATGGATTGATTGTCAGAATACGGAGCAATTGTTGATTGTTACCGTAGGAGAGTGACTCTGATGACTAAGTCTGGAGCCGTGATTTCTTATCGGGCAGATATGAATCCAGTCCTAGGAGAACGACTGTTGAAGTACAGTGTTGGGGGACGGAGGAATCTAGCTTGTTTTTCTTCTCTTCTTGTTTTAGAAGGTGAACCCGAAATAACTGGAGACAGTGCGGGAATCCCTGTAGTGGATGAGTTTACAGATGTATTTCCTGATGAGCTACCTGATTTAGCGCCAGATCGGGAGATTGAATTCTGTATTGATTTGGTTCCGGGAACGGCACCTATTTCCATTCCTCCATACCAGATGGCTCCGGTGGAGATGAAAGA